AGCCTCACCTTACAGATGGGACTCGAACAAAAACGGGCTGGCAGGAGGGAGCCAGACTACATTTCCTCCTAAGCCAGCGATCCCCAACCTATTTCATCTCATAGCACACATAAACTAATTACTAGAATTCTGCAGCACACCAAAACGTATATTTTTTGCAGATCTGACCCCCCTCCCAAAAAAATATAATTTTGATTAATTCACACTGGACGCTATTGTGTTGGCTGTTGTCTTTTTTTAATTTGACAACCTAAGGGAAAGCGGTCAGTGCCCTGACTGGTCAGGTCGCGTATGCTTTAAAAATTCCTGGGGCACACCGGTGTGATGAAGATCGCTGTCCGAAGGGATTGGCAAGTCGTGGAGTTTTAGGCAGGTGGGCGATGACAGGGTAAGATACTGTGTTTTGCAAAGATCCCTGTGGCAGTCGGGCGGAGACCGGCTGCATTGCCCGGAGAGATGAGGACAGAGGAGCGGGTCAGAGTGTGCACGTGGCCAGGGCCCCGCGGGAAGAGCGCCAATCACCTCCCAACCGGCTGCCCAAGGGACCACATCGCCAGTCCCCGCAGGTCCGCCCAGGGTGTCGGGGCCGCACCCCCTTCCCCACCGAGGTCAGGCGCCGGGGTTTCTTCAGGAGCCTCGTCTCTCTCCGGAACTCTCGCGAGATGTCCCCCGCACCCCCCCCCCCCCCGGGGTCCCGGGGGAAGGGCCGGGCTTGTGCTTTCTGACTCTCAGCGGCCCCCGTCCACGTCCGCCGCCACGTGACCAAACAGATCCGGGCACTTCCACTTCTCCTCCGCTTTCTTCTCGGCAGTGTCCGCGGCGGGTCCAGAGTCGGGTGAGCGAGCGAACGCCTGGCCGGGGCCGTCCGTGGGGGGCGGGCTGGCCCGCGGGCCGGGAGCGCCCCTCACGGACGCCCCCCGCCCGCTGTTGTCCCCCGGAGGCGGCGTTGGCGGCGTCATGGCGGAGCTGACGGCTCTGGAGAGTCTCATCGAGATGGGCTTCCCCAGGGGACGCGCGTAAGGGAGCCCCTCTAGCCCCGGCCGCGGGGCTCGCGGGCGTGTCCGCCTTCCCCCCGCCCGGCCTCAGGCTCCGCGCCCCGGCCTGACCGTCGCCATGGCCCGCGGGCGCTATCACGGTGTTTCTGCCCCCAGGGAGAAGGCTCTGGCCCTCACAGGGAACCAGGGCATCGAGGCCGCGATGGACTGGTGAGCGCCCACCCCGGGGCGGGGACGGGGGCGGGGCGGGCAGCCTCGGGTCGACCTCCCTGCCGACTCTCTCCGCCAGGCTCATGGAGCACGAAGACGACCCCGATGTGGACGAGCCGCTGCCGACCCCCCTCGGACATGTCCTGGGACGGGAACCCACCTCCTCGGAGCAGGGTGGCCCCGAAGGTCCTGACCGAGGGGCGCGGTGAGGCTGTGGAGGGGCCCGAGGAGATGACGGGGGTGACACCGATGGCTTGTTTGCAGGGCCTGGGTCCCCCGCGGAAGAAGGGAAACTCGTTCTGAGCGAAGAGGAAAGGCAGGAGCAGACGAAGAGGCATGTAGGCGGCACGGCCCTGCGCGGTGGAGGGTCACCCTGTGCCTCTCTCTCCCGGGCACAGTCTGATCAGTGTCTCCAACTGGCCACATCCCCTGCCCTCTCGGCATTTCCCTTTTGTGCTGGGACACGTGTCCCCTGGCTTGTGTTTTCTGAGTCCCTTGTTATAAGCCCACCTTTCCACTCCACGGTCGTCTCCCTTGAGCTCTCCTGTTTGCAATACAGGATGCTGGAGCTGGTGGCCCAGAAACAGCGGGAGCGCGAGGAGAGAGAGGAGCGGGAGGCGCTGGAACGGGAGCGGCAGCGCCGGAGACAAGGGCAAGAGTTGTCCGCGGCCAGGCAGCGGCTGCAGGAAGACGAGATGCGCCGGGCGGCGGAGGAGCGCAGGAAGGAGAAGGCCGAGGAGTTAGCGGCCAGGTGGGATGCTGGGTCAGAGCTGAGGAAGGAATCAATATTTGCTTTGTCAGGGCCTGACCTGCTTTCTTCCTGTCTGCGTTCCAGGCAGAGAGTCCGAGAAAAGATTGAAAGAGACAAAGCAGAGAGAGCCAAGAAGGTAGGCGGTTGGGAAGACGCAGGAATTAAGTGGATGAGGCTAATAAGCCCCATTTTCTGCTTCGGAGGGCAAGGCGGGGCGCAGTGTTTCTCGGGCGGGTGGGTGGGTGGGTGCCTGATGGCGTCTTGCTTTGTCCTGCAGTATGGAGGCAGCGTGAGTTCTCAGCCGTCCGCACCCGCCGAGCCCGGTTCTGTTCCCTCCTCTCCCAGCCAGGAGCCTCCCAGCAAGCGGGAATATGACCAGTGCCGCATCCAGGTACTGATTCTCATTCTCTTGCTCTGGGACCCCTGTGTTGCCTGTCAACCCCCTAGCCCAGAGCTTTGTTTGTCTGTTAATCCTCACCCAGGATTTTTCCATTGATTTTGAGAGAGAGTGGAGGGGAAGAGACACAGAGAGAGAAACATCAATGTGAGAGAGAGACATCAATTGGTTGCCTCTTGCAGGAGCCCCGACCAGGGCCAGGGATCGAGCCTGCAACCGAGGTACGTGCCCTTGGCCAGAATCGAACCCGGGCCCCCTCAGTCCGAGGGTCGGAGCTCTGTCCATTGAGCCAAATAAGCTAGGGCCCAGAGCTTTTTTCAGTTATGTTTCCTTTGCCAAACTTCTCCCTTCTTTGTAAATGACTTTTGAAATCCTACCTTCTCTACTCTTAGGAATAGTATCAAATTTCACTTGCTCAGTCTTCTTTAAGTCCATACCTCCCTCTTACTCAGCAGTTACCTCCTTACTTGTTCATGCTTCCATTGGCTGTATTACACAGCTGTTTGCAAAGCTAACATTTATTCATTTATGATGGTATTTTTCCAGGTAGTTTTGTGGACTCTTAAGTTGTGAGGGAGCAAGGAGTCTGTCTCTCTCTTCATTGTTTAGTCAAGCAGAACCGAAGTGACTGTTCATTAGGTGCTTGTAGTAGTAATGATGCTGGTTCGAACTGAGAGGAAGGAGGAGCCAGCTTTGCTCTTCTTTTCCTTGCTGGGTCCCTCCCTCAGTTTTGACACTCACTGTGTTGTGGCTTTCACCCACCCTCCAGGTCCGGCTGCCAGATGGGACCTCGCTGACCCAGACGTTCCGGGCCCGGGAACAGCTGGCAGCTGTCCGGCTCTATGTGGAGCTCCACCGTGGGGAGGAGCCGGGCGGGGACCAGGACCCTGTGCAGCTGCTCAGTGGCTTCCCCCGGCGGGCCTTCTCGGAGGCTGACATGGAGCGGCCTCTGCAGGAGCTGGGTATGACGTGTGGGAGCTGAAGCAGGACGTGGGTGTGATAGGGACACGCCTGAGAGGGAAGGGCTGCAAAGAAGGGACTTGGTGGAGAAGGTGTGAGGCCAGGAATCTGGGAGACAGAAGGTAGGTATGTGTGGCTTAAATCTGCTTTCTTCCTTCATCTTCAGGACTTGTGCCTTCTGCTGTCCTCATTGTGGCCAAGAAATGTCCCAGCTGAGAGGCCTTATCCCACCTCCTGTCTGACCTCTTCAACTTTGATAAAGCACTGACATCTCTTTCCTAATAAATAGCCCTGAGTTCTCTTATGTGCCCGACTCCTTCCTGAGTGACCGGGAGGGACTAAACTGAGACAGGAAGACTAAAGGGAATGAATGCTTTCAGAACAGATGCCATTCATCTCACATTTCCAACAGAGACGTGTTTCTGATCTCGGTCTGATTAGTTGCTGGGAAGTTGAGGGGGGAGACATGCTTGGGGGTGGAGAGTGCAGTGGATATAGCACCTTTTGCTCCTATGGGTAAGGTGGTGCGTAAGCTTGGATTCCTTATTGGCTATGTGCCTAGTTTACTTCTTTAGTGAAATAGGGATGATAGTACATGTCAGGTGGAGTTGTTGGGGTTACATAATGTCAATAAAAGGTGCTTTAGCACAGTATCTGGCACCAAATAAGTCCCCAGTAATTACTAGCTATTAAAAGGGTAATGTTTTATGCGGCCATTCCTAAACATTGAGGAACACTGACCTTAAAAGCATTTTACAAGTATTAACAGATACGAAGGTACTATTACCTAGGAGTAGGTACAGTTACCCATTTTAGAGATTCCGACACTAAAGCTGGTGACTTGCCCAACCTGACACAGGCAGCTGGTTACGGATCCTGGACACACCGGGGTGCCCAACTCTTGGTGCCAAGCACCTTTATGGGAACCTGCCTCACAGCCACTGATCACCTGAGCCTAGTGTTCCCTAACAGCTGCTGCCTTCCCCTCAATCCCAGGCTGGGAAAGGGCCACCATTAACCTAAAGGTCATAGGTGACATGTATTCACCTTATGACTTCACCACCCAGCAGTTGAAAACAGCACCAATGCTCATATCTGGGTTTATACCTCCGCGTATTAGTGTTCTGGCTAAACTTATGTAATGAAAGCAGCCTTTTTTCTTGTGGACAAAAGGGGAGCCAAGCAATGGACTTGGTGGTGGGGCTGCAACTTCACTGACAGCTGTGTCTCATCCCTTCAGCGGCGCTTCCAGTGGATCCTAGGACTGGATCACAGACTGAAAACTACAGTGAAACCTTGAGGGGAACCCCACTATTTACTGAGAGGCTGCTCTGCCAGGCCCTACCTACACTTTACTTTTTTCTACATTATTCTTATGACAGCCCCTAAGATAATTAGCACCTTTACAGAGCAGTACTGAGGCTCGGAGGAAACGTGTAACGTGCTGGAGTTGAATCAAACCTCTGACTCAAAACACGCTTTCACTGCTCCCAGCAAACGGGCTCCCAAGGCCAATGGCCGCCGAAGCCGCCCGGCCCGTGTTCAGTGCCAAGAGCTCAGCTCCAGCCTCACGGCAGGAACCCTAAGTGTCCCCTGGCAGCCACTGCTGCACGGTTTTCCAGGGCAGTTCGACTTCAAGAATGCCGCCTGGTTACCCCCAAAAGAACACTCACACACATGAGCGGGCTCGTGCTTTCAAAGCGTGATCGCTGTGCCTATTGGGCTTCGGCCGCACATGGGAAGCGGGGCACTGGGTGCTGCGGCCAGCCCAGCCCACAGAACCGACCCCACAACGGAGACATTTACAGGCGTCAGACCTCAGGGCTCACTTTCCGGATGGAGGAACTGATTTACTGGTTCCTTCAGTTCCCCACATCGACGGCGCCGGCCCGCGAGGACATGAACGCGCAGTCAGTGCAGGGTTTGGGGGGGGAGTGCTCACCCGGCGGCAGCTCCCGGAGCCCGGGCTCCCCGCCAGGTCCCTGCAAGGCCGCCTCCTACTCCTGTGCCGGAGCGGAGCTCCCAGCGCCCACGGGTGCAGGTCCCGGCTCACGCTGACTTCCCGCCGCCGCCGCCGCTCAGCCAGTTCTTCCTCCAGGTCACGTTCTCCTGCGTGGCAGCTGCCTCCTGCAGAGCGGCCATCACTAACTGCTTGGTCCTGGCCGCCTCTTCCCGGCTCCGTAAGTCCTGCCCCGGCATCTCCTGCGGGAGAGAGGTTCGCAGTTCCGGCCCCAAGCGCGGGGGTGACTCCGCCTGCCCGCCCACCCCACGTCGGACTTCCCATGGCTCCCACCTTCAGCATCGCCTGAACCCGCTCCTCTCCCGGGGTCACGAGGACAAAGAGCGCGGAGCCCACGCCAGCCCACGCCCCCAGCACCGCGACTGAGATGAGCGCTTTGCGCAAGAAGCCCATCGCCCACCGCACGGGCAGCGAGGCGCCTGCGCGGTCTCCCGCAGCCTAGAGAGGCCGGCACCGCGTCTCACCGGCTCCTGCGCGGGCTAGAGCGCCCCTCAGCGGACACCATAGAAAGGGGCCGGCTAGAGAGGACCCGATCGCGAAAGGTCTCGCGTCTGGGGCGCCCGAGTCTAAAGCCTGGATGTGGCCGGGAAGCTGGAGCGCATCGGGGAGGCTGAGCGTGTCCGGAAGGCGCTGAGCCCGCAGGCGGAGCGCGGGAGCTGTTGTCGCGAAGTTGGGAGTGAGATGAACTAAAGGTTGCTCCGTGTTTGCGTCCTGATGGAGATGGAACCCGCCACCTGGGCTATCGGAGGAGGCCCGAACCCACCGAGCCACCGGCCACAGTGCATCTCCATGGTTGCCGCGGCTTTTACAACTAACAGCCCAGTTCCTGAGTTTCCTGATCAAGAGAAGGCTAGAGCAGGAGAGAGGCTCTAGGCTTTAAAGCTTTTAAAGCACACTTGTTAAATTTTTCATCATGCTATATACTCTTGGGACATATTTATTAAATCATGAAAACTCAAGAGAAGGCTAGGCCCCTGCTCTGTGGTTGCCGCAGTAACTTGTGCTGTGTCAGGACACCCAGTGGACACCCAGATACGTGGACACACAGTCTATGGACCCCCTTCAGTCCCGTCAACCTCTGAACAGAAGCGCAGAGCCAAGCGCACTGCTTTCGGAAGAGTGTGTTTATATAGTTCTTCTTTATCTTACGTGTTAGTAAACTTGTTACAAGTGAACTTGTTAAGCCGGGTAGCTCAGTTGGTTAGAGCATCGTTCTGATACACCAAGTCAGGGCACCTACAAGAATCAGACATTGAATGCATCAATAAGTGGAACAACAAATTGATCTCTCTTCTCTCTTTCAAAATCAATAACTAAAAGCTAAGAAAAAGTGTTTTTAAAGCACACTTGTTAAATTTTTCATCATGCTATATACTCTTGGGACATTTATTAAATCATGAAAACTAGATTTCGCGTAGCATACCCAAATTCCAGTTTGGAGAAGAAAACACCTCTTAGTTGTGTCTGGACAAAATCATTTAAGTTCTTTGTGCCCTAGTGTCTGTATCGGAAAAGGGGCTAATAACTATCTATGCCATAGTTTTAGGAGAATTAAACCTGTTTACACATAAAGGGTTTATAACAGTTCCTGGAAAATAGTCAACACCACATGAATATCCACTTAAAAGATACAAGGAAATATGTCAACTTGGGCAACCCAGTTGGCAAAGGAATCAGGAAGTTCCAAGTTTATCAAGGTTCTTCACTCAGGGCTGTACTCCAGATTCCCTTGTTGCTATCCCTCCTGCCTTTCCCAGCGTCACCAGGGAAAGGGAGTGAGTGGAAATAAAGCTCTTATCCCAGTCTCGGGACGTCTTCCTCCCCTGGAAGGCCCATCCTGCTCTCCTCAGAAGTGATTAAGGAGCCAGGCTCCAAAGAAGATCAAAGAGCAGCCTGTGGGGTGTACTGGGCAGGGGTTCAGAACTCTACTGAGCTCAACCACCCTGCACTCTAAAAATCAGCAGCCATAGACTGTGCCAGGGAGCAGCGAGGATGGGCCTTGGCCTAGAGATAGCCCAGGCTCCTTCCAGCATCCAGAAAATCCGCAGCTGACCAACCCTCTCTGGAAAGACAGAGAAGAAACTGACTGAGTTGAAGGTCATCAGGATGTGCAGGTTAGTACTTCTCCACCCTGTGTCCTGCTGCTGGCTCATCCTCCATGTGAGCCCAAGACCCCTGCTGTCCCCATGCAGGTTGTCTCTCAAAAGACCCATCTGCCCTCCATTGTGGTAGAAGCTGCTGAGGTAAGTGGAGAGCGGGGAGCTCCCGTGGCCGCATGAGGAGCTACTGTTGCTCACAGATGATGAGGAAGGGGTCCAGGTCTTCTTCCAGGAGCGAAGTGAAGAGCCAGGTGAGGGAGGTGGCAGGTGCAATGGAGCCCTTGTGACCTGGCGTCTGGACAGGACTCAGTTTTGTCCCTTGCATTCAGCAGTGCCAGGCACACAGAATCGAACCCGGGACCCCTCAGTCCGCAGGCCGACGCTCTATCCACTGAGCCAAACCGGTTTCGGCTAGCTGATGGACTTTAGAGAGCAGTTCTGATGTCAGCTGGGTCATGCCTTTTAATATGTTTTTTAAAAATATATTTTTATTGATTTCAGAGGGGAAGGGAGAGGAAGAGAGACAGAAACATCAATGAGGGAGAATCATTGATTGGCTGCCTCCTGCACACCCCACACAGGGAATCAAGCCCACAACCTGGGCATTTGCCCTGACTGGGAATTGAACCGTGACCTCCTGGTTCATAGGTAGATGCTCAACCACTGAGCCACACTGGGCTTAATATGTATGTTTTAAAATATACTTTCATTGATTTCAGAGAGGAAGAGAGAGATAAAAACATCAATAAGAATCATTGATTGGCTGCCTCCTGCATGCCCCACACTGGGGATTGAGCCTGCAACCCAGGCACATGCCCCTTGACTAGAATCAAACCTGGGACCCTTTAGTCGAAGGCCGACACTCTATCCACTGAGCCAAACCAGCTAGGGCTTAAGTATTTTTAATATTTAAAATATTTAGTTTGGGGGGGGGGGGGGGGGAGAAAAAAGATAATAAAATTCCCCCAAATCTGACTGCCCAGTGAGAGCTAACATTTGGCAAGTCTTCTCTTGCAGACTTCTCCCACCTATATACTGTTACAGAAACATTTTGAGGGGGAGCATTTACTATATGCTAGGCACTGTGCCAAACACTTTTATGTCATGATTTTTCAGAACCCAAGGAGGGAGATCCTTTCCCCTCATGAGGAAACTAAGGCTGTGAAATGAGGCTCTTCATTTTTCATAAACAAAAATCACAAACTCATGTGTTTTTAGTAAAAAGCAAAACATTTGACCTGAAGTGAAAAAAAGATCACAAGTTCATTTTATTTTTTAATGAAGTCATCTATAGTTTCAAAAACCACTCAACATTTTATTTTAAAATACATTTTATTGATTTTAGAGAGAAAAGGAGAGGAAGCGATAGAAACATCATTAAGAATCATTGAGTGACTGCCTCCTGCACGCCCCCTACTGGGGATCAAGCCCGCAACCCAGGCATGTGCCCTTGGCGGGAATCGAATGTGGGACCTTTCAGTCCGCAGGCCAACGCTCTATCCATTGAGCCAAACCAGCCAGGGCAACACAAGTTCATTTTAGTAAAGGTCAATGTATCAGGAACATTTCTCACTGCTAATGGGCTCTTAACTCCCCTCCCCCAACCCAGACTGGACATTTAGCCCACTGGACCCCAGATCTCTCGTGAGAACCTTTAATCCAGAACTCAGCTCGGGGCAGGAACAGGTAGAGCAAGATGCCTGCTGGGTTCCGGAGGACAGTGTATCAGGAAGCTCCCAATCCCAGTCCTCTCTGGGGTCTGCAGAAGCCACCTAATGGAATACTGCCATTTCCGGCCGCCCAGGAGCTGAGGGTACTGTTTGTTCTCTCAACATTTCACCTAGGTTTGTCTAGGGAGCCCCTCTGCCCGTCCTCACAATCTTTCCCTTTTACAGGTGAGAAAAATGAGCTTAGAGGTTAGGCCACTGGGTCACATATCAGTCGATGCTGGGATTTGGGTGGGGAATAATCCACTTATATCTTCTCTATGGGACTGCTTCTAATAAATGTTTTAGCTGTCAATGTATGCAATACCCATAAATCCAGGTATTATTCCTACCCTGCCGGTGAGTAAACGGGCAGTCAATGCTTGTGCACCTAGTTAGTAACCATGGAAGCCAGGACTAAAATCCTTATTCTCTAGCCATCTTGCAAAGGCAAAGCTCTCTCCATCTCTCCTCACCCAACAAGAACCCTAGGGTCAAGTCTATGTCTTTAATGAGAGCCTTGAACCAGGTAAGCAAAGTAGGTGATGCCCCTGAAAGGGCCCATCTCCTGCACAGTCACACTCCACCCTGGGGATCCCTGCTCCAGGCAGGGAAGCCGCACATCAGGGTCCTCATCTGAGAACTGAATCAGGGTCCCCTGGGGGCTGAGGACCCTCAGGCATTCGGACAGCAGCTGGTAAGCCCCAGGCAGACCACCTCGGGCAACAGCATCCCAGGTGCCCTTGTCCAGCACTAGCTGGAAGGAGCCGGAAGCCACTGGCTCCAGGTTCTGGGCATCAGCCTGCATAAAGCGGAGGCGGGAGGCAGGGTGCCCAGGGCACAGGGGTGTCTGGCCTTGGCCACCTTCCAGGATGTTGTTCATGTGGGCCACGGCCACGGGAGAGAAGTCCACCCCCAGCACGTCCACTGGGTGTGGGCACTTGGCGTACAGGCCTACACTCAGGCTGGAGGTCCCACAGCCCACGTCTAGCACCCGCAGTGGACGGGCAGCCTGGGCTCCCTGCAGCAGCGGCAGGAGGAGGCCCTGGGCTTCCTCAAACCCAAAGAACCAGTCGAAGGTGGGGGCTCGGCCCGGCCGGGGCTGGGCGTGGAGCTTATCCCAGAGGCAGCGGTCCGCCAGGCAGCTACCGGCCAGGGAGCCTGTGGACACGAGCGGAAGGCATGTGTCACCCGAGTTCCGTCCAACCACCGCAAAAACGACGCAATGAGACCTCACCCTTTAACAGCCAGACTGGACTCCGGGTCAGGAAGAAACCGCCCTGCCTCCCACCGCCCATCTTTCCTACCCGCCAAGGCGCGGCGTGTGCCCGCAGCCCGGGTGGCCACCTGGAGGGTTCGTCGCAGCGCCGCCATCCAGAAATGCTGCAATGTCGCCCGAACTCCACGCAGAAGCCTGAGATTCAAGAGATTTGCAAAATCCGCTTTGTGCAATTACGTGTGCAACCTAACTCTGCAGCGCGGAAAAAAGCACGCGGACACACACCTAAAACGGTACCAACGGCCTTGGCCTTTATTGGTTGCAACGGACGGAGAAAGGGAGGAGATACGACAGCTCCGGATCCTGCGGCGGCTTCAGACCTGAAACAAGAGGAGGAGGCATGAGCATCCCGGGGGGGAGCCCGCGGAACTTCGGTTCCGCCCAGCTTCTCGGAGACCCGTGTCCCGGCGCTTGAGGATAGAACCGGCGGACTGGCAACCGTCGGCACCGAAGACATGACGCCGAGGGGGCCGGAGCCCTCTCCCTCTGCCTCCGTACATTACGGGGACCGGGACCGCACGCCCGAACCCCGCCAAGAAAAGGAGGGTCCGCAAGCCCAGCCCAGAACCCCCGCGCACCCCGTAGGGCCCCGAAAATAAACAGCACTCACTCCGTAGCCGACCCGGAAAGACGGAGGAGCCCACTGAGCTCCCTTATATAGCCCCAGGCCCCGCCCCCGAGCTGCGATTGGCTCTCGGAGGACTGAGGGGCGGGGCCGTACGGACCCTGCGTCCGGCGGAAACGCGGACCGGAAGCCGACACAGCGGCTCAGCCATGGGAGCTCCGGGCGGCAAGATCAACCGGCCGCGAACGGTGACTATATGGCGGCGCCGAGCGCGTCTCCGCGGCGTCCCGAGCCCTCTGTCCCCCCGGGATGGGGCCGATGGGCCCGCGGCGCCGGGTGCGGGGAGACCGGGCGCGGGGCGCGGCCGCCGCCTGAGTAGCGTCTTCCTCCCCCGCAGGAGCTGAAGAAGAAACTGTTCAAGCGACGGCGGGTGTTGAACCGGGAGCGGCGCCTGAAGCACCGGGTGGTCGGGGCCGTGATCGACGAAGGGCTGACCACGCGGCACCACCTCAAGAAGCGGGCGTGAGTGCCGGGCCGCTGCCCCGGGTCCGCCCCGGGTCCCTCCCGCGTGGCCGAGCTCCCGAGCCGCGGCGCCGTCTGCACCCGCACTTTGCGAGGGACGCGTCCCCTGCGTTCGGGCCTTAATTTATAAGTGAAGCCCAAGGCGCACACAGGCTGTGCCTGCCGCCGGCTGAGTTTCCCCGGGCACCTGGGCTTTTGCATAGAAGTCTCAGGGCGGCCTCGTCGGGGAGAAAAGTTCCCTCGCCATTCTGTCATTGAATTCTTCATTATCAGTCTTGGCAGAGTTTATAATAAGAAACGTATTTCTTAGGCCTTTGCCCCTGGTTCCTGGCACAGAGCCCCTAAAACCTTCCGCGTGATAGGAGCGTTTTTTATTTCGTTAGGAGCCCCTTTTGAGCACGCCGAAGTTTATGCTCATGAGTGACCGGGTGGGTCTGGTCACCAGAAAACCCCAGAGGTTAGAGGACTGGAACATGGAACCTCCCCCTCCCCCACCCTGGGAAGTAGGGGGCGGCAGGTGGGGGCCTGGTGATTGAACTCTAAGTCTTGAGCAGCGGAGGTTCGATGGGCTTCCTGGTTGGTGAATGGGTGGAGGTGCTAGAAGGTAGCTCACCTGGAAAGGGCCTGGAGACGCCTGGCCTCTCCCCCATACCTTACCCTATGCATCTCTTCCATCTGGCTCTTCTGAATTGTATCCTTTTATGATAAATCAGTAAATGCAAGTAAATGTCCCCCTGAGTTCTGTGAGCTCTTCTTACAAATTATGGAGTCTGAAAACTGGGTTAGAGCCCTGCTTCATAGGGTCAGAAGTACAGGTAGATAATGTCATTGAATTAAATTTATAGGACTTAAACCCCCCTTCTCCAATCTGATGTTAGAGTATCTAGAATAGAGAAGAAAAATAGTTTCCCCTTACAAATTTCTACAATATATTAAAATTTAACATTTAATGTTAAGTACTTGATGTGTTGAAATTAAACTTACTACCTCAGAACCCAGATTTTTAAATAGTTCTTTGATGTGTATCCAAAGACCTTTTTTTAAAAAAATATTTTTTTATTGATTTCAGAGAGGGAGAGAGAGAGAGAAACATCAGTGATGAGAGAGAATCATTGATTGGCTGCCTCCTGCACACCCCATTCTGGGGCTCGAGCCTGCAATCTAGGCATGTGCCCTGACTGGGAATCAATCCGTGACCTAGTTCATAGGTCGATGCCCAACCACTGAGCCATGCCAGCCGAGCCGAAGACCTTTTTAATAGCTAGAGCCACCTGTGTGGTTGTGTTGTTCATGTTAACCCAGATCTTTGTCCTGCCAACCCTTCAGGTCCAGTGCACGTGCCAACATTACTCTGTCTGGGAAGAAGCGCAGAAAACTCCTCCAGCAGATCCGGCTTGCCCAGAAAGAGAAAGCAGCCATGGAAGGTGAGGCTGGGCGCAGAGGCGGGGCCGGGGGGCAGCCTGACTCCACTTGGGTTCTTTAATGCAGCTTCTTTCTCTTTGTTCAGTGGAAGCCCCTGCAAAGCCAGCCAGGACTAGTGGCCCACAGCCTAAATCAAAAAAGAAGACGAAGCCCCCCCAGGATGTAGACATGGAGGACCTTGAAGATGGGAGCTAAGTCTTACCCCTTTCATCACAAGGTTCTCACCTGGAGCCAGGCGGACTCAGGGCTTGTTCCAGAAGACTTTGGAGAAGACATTGCACCTTTTCACTCTCCCCAGACTCCTCTTCCATAATGGCCTAGTGGCCTGCCTGGAGGGACGTGTTGAGAGGAAGAGTGGAAAAGGAGGACTAGAGAGGCGGCTCCTTAGCAGGCAACTCCATTTGCAATAAAGCCCGTAGTTCTCGCTGAGATGTGTGTGGCTGAGTGCAGGGCTGGGGATGGGCCTTGAGAAGGGCTCTGTGAGTGGGGAAAAGGCAGCTGTGACACGGGACCCACAGGGTGCGCTTGAGCAAAGGCATCCAGGAGCCAGCCTCCGTCACAGCCCGTGAGTGTCACTCCAACTTTCCACTTCCGACCAAAGTACAGCTTGCTGTAGAGATGGCCGAGGAGGTAAGGGTCCTGAAACCAGCCCTGCCACTGCTCTGTGTTACCGGGTGGGCTGATCGCTTCGTCATGTTTGTCGCTGCTTCCTTTGCTGGATTATATTTTTAATAAAGTGAAGACCAGACATTATTCTCCCTATTTATTAATTTATGAGAGGAAAGGAGAGAGCGAGAGAAACTGTGATCAGCTGTCTCCTGTACACACCCGGACACCGAATCAAAGCCAACTCCTTTCACTGCAAGATTCTCTTGCGGTGATTCCCTTGTGGTGACGGGACAGACACTCCAACCAACGGAGTCACGCCGGCCAGGCATCATTTTCCCCTTTTAACTGTCAAAAATGCTGCTGGAAGCCAGGGCTGGGGTATTTAATGAACATGAAAAGCTGCCCAGCCCTGACGGGTTTGGCTCAGTGGATGGAGCTTCGGCCTGCGGACTGACGGGGTCCCGGGTTTGGTTCTGCTCAGGGGCATGTACCTTGGTTGCGGGCGCGTCCCTGGTGGGGGGTGTGCGGGAGGCAGCTGATTGGTGTTTCTCTCTCATCGATGTTTCGAACTCTCTGTCCCTCTCCCTTCCTCTCTGTAAAAAATCAATAAAATACATTAAAAAAAAAAAGCTGCCTGTGTGAGAAGTATATTTAATCAGGGCAGGCTTCCTGGAAGAGGGAGACTTTGTGGCCAGTGTTGCACCTCTTCCCCTACTTTATATTTTTAACAATATCAAACTTTCACTGAAGCTAAAAGATTAGTACAATGAACCCTTATATATGGACTCTGTCTGGATTTACGAATTTTTTAACATTTTGCTCTACTTGTTTAATCTCTACACATTTGCAAATATGTATGTATATGGGTCTCTGTTCTTTGCTGACTCATTTGAAAGTCAATTGCAAATGACATTCCATCCCTAATTTTGCTATTTATAAAAAAACTTTGTTGCCCTGACTGGTTTGGCTCAGTGGATAGAGCGTCGGCCTGCGGACTGAAGGGTCCCGGGTTCGATTCCGGCCAAGGGCATATACCTTGGTTGCGGGCACATCCCCAGTCGGGGGTATGCAAGAGGCAGCTGATTGATGTTTCTCTCTCATCAATGTTTCTAACTCTCTATCTCTCTCCCTTCCTCTCTGTAAAAAATCAATAAAATATATTTTAAAAAAACAACAACATTGTTGATCTTTAGAGAAAGGAAAGGAGAGGGAGAAACATCAATGTGAGAGAGAAACTTATATTGGCTGCCTCCTGTACACCCCGCACTGGGGATAGAGCCCACAACCTGGGCATGTGCCCTGATTGGGAATCCAACCAGAAACCTTTTCGTATACCAGACGACACCCAGCCAAACAAGCCACTCCATCCTATATAGTAAAAATACTATTATCACACCTAAGATTTTTAACATGAGTGAAATAGCTAATATTCAATTTTTCATATTCAGATTTCCCCAGTTGTTCCAATGTCCTTTACATAAATGATCTCAAATGATCTTTGCAAAATGTCTGAGATATGAGACATCATGCCCATTTTACAGATCAAATAATGAGCTCCAAACAGCTGGGTCACTTGCTCAGGGTTACATGGCTAATAAATAGCAGACATGAATCCAGACCTGTCCAACTCCAAAACAAGCTCGCCACACTGAAACCATTAGGGCAGTGTTCTCAACCTTCCTAATGTCAAGACCCTTTAATACAGTTCCTCATGTTGTGACCACAACCATAAAATTATTTTCGTTACTACTTCATAACTAATTTTGCTACTGTTATGAATCGTCATGTAAATATCTGATATGCAGGATGTATTTTCATTGTTAAAAATTGAACATAATTAAAGCATAGTGATTAATCACGAAAACAATATGTAATTATATATGTTTTCTGATGGTCTTAGGCAACCCCTGTGAAAGGGTCGTTCGACCCCCAAAGGGGTCGTGACCCACAGGTTGAGAACCGCTGCATTAGGGGAAGGACCACATAATAGTGGTGCTGCTACAAACATTCAGGTACAAGTTTTTGTTTGAGCACCTGCTCTCAGCTGAGAGCAACATCATGAAGAGACAGCCCAGCCCTAACCAGTTTGGCTCTGGATAGAGCGTTGGCCTGCGGACTGAAGGGTCCCAGGTTTGATTCTGGTCAAGGGCATGTACCTTGATTGTGGGCACATCCCCAGTAGGAGGTGCTGCAGGAGGCAGCTGATGGATGTTTCTCTCCCTCGATGTTTCTAACTCTCTATCCCTCTCCCTTCCTCTCTGTAAAAAATCGATAACATATATTTAAAAAAAAAAAAAAGAGACAAATCGGACAAGCTGGTGACCGAGCAGCTGATCAGCATGGCCTACGGGCAGATTGGTATGATCCAGGGTCTAGGGGGCTTCTTCACTTTGTGATTCTGGCTGAGCATGGCTTCCTCCCGGTTAACCAGCTGAGCATCCAAGTGGACTGGGACGACCGCTGGGTCAACGACATGGAGGACAGCTACGGGCAGCAGTGGACCTACAAACAGGAAGATCATGGAGTTCGCCTGCCACACAGCCTTCTTTATCAGCATCGTGGTGGTGCATGGGCCGGCGTGGTCATCTGCAAGACCCAGAGGAACTCCGTCTTCCAGCAGAGGATGAAGAACAAAATCTTTTTTAAAAAAAATATATTTTTATTGATTTCAGAGAGGAGGGGAGAGGTAGAGATAGAAACATCAATGATGAGAGAGAATCATTGATCGGCTGCCTTCTGCATGCCCCCTACTGGGGATCAAGCCTGCAACCTGGGCATGTGCCCTTGGCTGGAATCGAATCTGGGACCCTTCAGTCCACAGGGCAATGCTCTATCCACTGAGCCAAACCGGCTAGGGCTGAAGAACAAGATCTTAATATTTGGCCTCTTTGAGGAGATGGCCCTCGCTGCTTTCCTTTCCTACTGCCCTGGAATGGGAGTCGCCCTGAGGATGAACCCCCTCAAACCTACCTGGAGGTTCTGTGCCTTCCCGTACGCTCTTCTCATCTTCGTGTGTGACAGACCTGAAAACTCATCATCAGGCGAAGCCCTGGAGGCTGGGTGGAGAAGGAGACCTACTACTAGAGCCCGCCCTGCACGCCTGAGCATCGTGCCACACTCTGCACCCTCACCCACCCCTTCGTGTACTTCAGTCTTGGGACTCAGAACTCCACCGTGGTAGCAAGCACCGAAGCATGTGGGGGAAGGGAGCCGTCCCAGAATGAAGCATGTAGCTATATGTGGGGAGTGGGGGGGGGGGGTGCCTCGCAAACATCCATCTGTGGGAATGACAGTGGGGAAGGTGTTTATGTGACTTTTTGTTTTTGTAAAAAGGAAATCATGTAAAGACCAAAAGAATACATTTGATATGTAAATTTTTACAAATAAAGATGGCTATTATAATGGGAAAAAAGAACCTACTAAGTGCCAGGCAGACACTGTTGCAGGTAATGAAGATAATAGCCTTTTATATATTATACTAGAGGCCTGGTGCATGACATTCGTGCACTGGGGGGGGGGGGGGTCTTTCAGCCCGGCCTGTGTCCTCTCACAGTCCAGGACCCCTCGTGGGATGTCCGCCTGCTGGCTTAGGCCCGCTCCCTATTGAGCTGGCAGGCGGACATCCCCCGAGGGTTCCTTAGTGCTACCGCCACCGCCACCGCCACCCCAGCCATGAGTCTGGCTTCTGGCTGAGTGGCACTCCCCCTGTGGGAGCACACTGATCACCAGGGGGCAGCTCCTGTTTTTGTTTTTTTTAAATATATTTTATTGAATTTTTACAGAGAGGGAGAGGGATAGAGAGTTAGAAACATTGATCAGCTGCCTCCTGCACACCTCCTACTGGATGTGCCCGCAACCAAGGTACATGCCCCTGACTGAATCTAATCTGGGACCTATCAGTCTGCAGGCCCATGCTCTATCCACTGAGCCAAACAGGTTAGGGCAGGGGACAGTCCTGTTTTGAGCGTCTGCCCCCTGGTGGTCAGTGCACATCATAACAACTGGTCATTCCACTGTTTGGTCTATTTGCATATTAGCCTTTTATTATATAAGATTATATATATATATGCCCTGTTTTCAAAGAGCTTATTTTCTGGAGTTTGTGCAATAAATACAATAAAAATAGCTAATGCTTATTAAGTGCTTGCTTACCATATTTCCTGGTTTCAATTTTCACAATTCTGTGAGGTGGCTGTACTGTTACCACCCTCATCTCCATCAGAGGAAGCAGTCATGGAAAAGTTAAATAAAGTACCCAGCCAGTAAGTGGAAGAGCCGGGGTTTAGGTGGACGGCTGGAGCGGGGCCCTGTCCGAGCCGAGGTGTGCTGGCTGCACGCAGTGACCAGGCTACCTCTCTGCACACGTGGGGAAGTGCGGGCAGGAGACAGTGCAGCCTGAGCAACGGAGACTGATAGGGTCGGAGGGCCAAGCTGGGCTGGGAAGACGCCCAATTAATTTCGGGCCACTTCTCCCTCCTCTCTTTACTTTTCTTCTCTTACCAATTTTCTCTTCTTTCTTTCCGTCTCTTTTCCGCTTTCCCTCTTCCCTTCTCTCCTTTAACTACTTTTTACATGGTCACTGTTTCTTAAATAAAATATTTCCCAGTGCTTCGTTTTTTAGAAACGTCGTGAAGTGGAACATTTTGTAGTTTGGGCTTTAGGAAGAACAATCGAATCGTCTGTGTATCCATGGCCCTTTGAAAAAAGAAGAAAAAGGCGGCAGTGACGGCGGCCGGGGCGGCTCTCCTGCTGGGCTCGCGGCGCGGCGCGGAACCAACGTGCGCGGCTCGCGGGAGTCGCCGGATGGGTTTTCTTGAGAGGCCTCGTCGCCGCTTGTTCCTTTCGGGGGCTCGCGCCAGCGCGCATGCGCCGCTGAGCTCCGCCGCTCCCGCCTCCGGCTCGGGCTCGGGCTCCGGGATGTCCGCGTTGTGCGACCCTCCCGGGGCCCCAGGGCCTCCGGGGCCGGTCCCGGCCACCCACGGTCCCGCGCCGCTCAGGTAGTCAGCGCCCCTGGCATCTTCCCCCATCGCGCGGCCCCGCGCCGATCCCCCAGCCTCCTCGGCAGAAACCCGGATCCTACCCGAGAGCCTGCGCCAGGGTCTCCGAGAGTCCTGCTTGGGTCTCCCCAGAACTCGGGGG